TGGGGTTTTGTTAACCTTTTTTATTTAATTATTTAATGTGATTAATAGCTATTACCATTTTGCCCTTTTAAAATTGATTAAAATATTGTCAAAATCAATTTTTTGGATCAACTAACGGTATTTTGGATGGAAACCATCCAAAAGGGTCTCTCTTGCAACGTTTCAAAAGATTAGGTGTGACGGCTGCAACAAATCAAAAGTTTGAAGAAAGTCTGTTAATGTTTTAAATGTTTGGGGCTTTTGCTTAATTATCCATTAATTTTATTTTAAGTGTCAAGTAAGTGTGAAAAAACACACTTATCAATCACCAATGCGCCCAACCACCAAGTGCCCCCACCTTACCACAATTAAAATAATTTAAAGTCAACAATTAATTTTATGCACTTATTTCATTATTTTTTATCGAAATTTATTTAAAAATCCGACTTTAATTTACACCAAATAAGGGTTAATGTGTCAAGCAATGCATAATTTGGCATACTCTTAAAATTTATAATCGTACTAGACTCGGTTGTCGGGCTCAAGGCAAGCCCTAGTAACCTATACGGACCTTCTTAATTAAATAATAATAATAATTAATACTACTCGTCTAACATAAATCTAGTTTAGATGTAATTAAACTATAAAACTTAGGTCACACTATAAAGTTTCATAAATTATTAAGTCAGTGTTCATTTTAGTTAAAAATTAATTTTTTAGTAGATTTTTATAAATATGATAAAATGTGTGGTTGAAAAGACGATAACAGTTGGGGAACTATGAAATATGTAATTAAAAATGAGTTTTAAAAAACATGGGCCAAAATTGGTTACCACATTACAATTACATTTAAAATGATACAAGCCCATATGCATTATGATATGTATCAACTATCATCTATGGGCAACATTTATTGAGCTTGTGTGAGTTTTTTTATCCACAATCAGTGTCTGAACAGAACTACTAGACGTAGGACGTTAAGGTTATTCTTAACAAGCATCTAACTATATAATGCTTAGTTTTGACAACTGGAAAAACGACGTGAAATCTTGAGGTTGAAATAAAAATGATATTTTAGAATAGAGTTCTGATGGGGGAAATATACGATATAGAGACGAAGATAGATGGTCACTTATTCAGATATGAGGTCATTTGCAAAATTAGTAGATTGGATGAAACGAAAAATATTCAAGGATTCTTGGCAATCCAAAGATACTTTCTGAACAAAATTTAAATTCCATATAAATACAGAATAAACACCTAGTCCGAGCGCAAAAAGGAAAAAAAAAAAAAATTAATCCAACATTCTTCACTTTTTCTTAAAATTTTTAAATCAAAATAAATGCAAATGACTTCAACACAATGAATACTTAGGCACTTTTCTAACATTAATTTATATTGTTCCATTTATATTGTTGCCTTCGTGCCTGATACACCTCCAAACTGTAATAAAACTACTGCAAACCCAAAAATTGTAACTAAGGATGTCTACTCATGAAATATTGGCTACACCACCTGTTGGAAAATGGTTTTACTACTA